GCCGGGGTGAGGGTTGAGGGGTGGGAGGTGCTGGCCTGCTTGCCGTGTGCCGCTCGTCCGGCGCGTGTGCCCGGCCACCTGGTCGTCATGGAGGAGGCCTTGGTAGAAGAGCTGGACGATGAGGAGCAGCTGGTGAGAAGGCATCGCAAGGAGAAGAAGGAGCTGCAAGGTGACGGCAAAGGGGCTGGGAATCTAAAGGTCGTCCCCACCCAGGGCTGGGAGCGTGATGTGTGACCCCGAGGACCTGGAGGGGCGACCGGCCTGCAGCCTGGATTTCCCCGCAGATAACTTTGGTGTGTCTTCTCCAGCCTTCCCCGCTCTCTCGGACCCCCGTTTGCAGTCCTCGGAGGTGTCCCGTTGGGCTGCCTGCAGTGCACCCCGAGGCGGTGCTTCGCTTTTGCTGCTGGTGATGTCCCTGGAGGCCGAGGTCTTGGCCCTCCTCTGCCACCCTTCCCATTCCTGCCTGGTTCCGAACACTTGACCTTAATGGTGTGCTCAGAATTGCTTTTCTTTATTCTTATGGTCGCAGAAGAGCTATTTGAGAGGCAGAAGTTGTGTAATTTACAATTTAATAATTGCTTTTCTTAACTTTATTTTGCCCCGTCAAACCAAACATTCATGGCGGTTGTGTTTAAGAGGTGTATGTTGAATCTCAAGCCTCATCCGGGCTTTTTTCTCTGTAGCTGATTGTTGTGTCATGACTAATTGCTTCTATAATTACATTACATTCTGTAATTATGCCTCTTGACATCTTACTCCTGCTGTTCGCTCTCTCTTCCTGGTGCTCTGACACGATGGTTTTGGTAACCTTTTAGCCAAAATTCAGGGAATGAAGAACGCTGTTCCCAAAAATGACAAAAAGAGGAGGAAACAACTCACTGAAGATGTAGCTAAGTTGGAGCGAGAAATGGAGCAGAAACACAGGGAAGAACTGGAGCAATTGAAGCTGACTTTGAAGGAGAGTAAGGTATGGGGAATAAAACTTGTTTCTGAGCCTTTGGAAACAACCGTCTGTGCTTGTTGAACTCCTTACTGTGTACATTCACAAAATTGGAAGTGAAATCAAGTCATGCAGTCACATTTACACATCACATTTCAACGTTACTATTTTTTGAGACAAAGTGTTATATAGTTCAGGCTGCCACCATCTGGGTTTGTAGCAGAGGATAACCTTGAACTTTAGATCTTATTGGCTTGGCCTCACAAGTGCTGGGATGCACCACCACACCTAGCTTTCCATTTCCTCAGTATTTTGGGACCAGGTTTATTATTTCTTTAAGGGAGATGAGCAAAGAGGGAACTACTTACTTAACCTAGTGATGAATGTGTAAAGCATAAAGTGTTCTAGAGAAGGTTTCTCTTGAGTGGACAATGGAAGACTAGACTTCTTGTCAAGGATTACTGATGAATAAGATGTAGCCTCTGAAAAGTTACTCAAGCAACCCAAGAATAAATTTCTCCACTTACGACATGGTGACAATTGTTTTGTGTATGGTTAAGGTTCCTATGAAAAACAAATGGGGTGACAAATGTGAAATCATGTTGAAGTTATAAAAAGTGCTTTGTGATCCAGTTGTAATGAATGAAGTTTTAGAGATGCTTCTTGTGTAAATGGGACCGCGATAACATGCATCTTTTCAGTGTTTATCATTCGACCTAGTGGTATATGCCAGCCACTTTGTTCACTGTATGGTATCTAGTATTTCAGTTAATTGTCAGTAATACTGTAAATAATACCTGTAAAATAAATGTAGATAATCACACTTTTCCAGTAGGAAACACACTTAGAAAGATTTAAGATCTTTATCTTAAAGTCATAATAGCTACTGAATGCCAAAAGCTAGAATTCAAAACTAGGCCATCAATTGGGCAGTGACTGGCAAACATCTTTAATCCCACACTTGGGAGGCAGAGGCAGTTGGATCTGAGTTCAAGGCCAGCCTGGTCTTGAGAGTGAGTTCTAGAACAGCCAGAGCTACACAGAGAAACTCTTTCTCAAAAACTAACCAACCAAACAAAAACAAAACCAGGCTATCTTTATACCTTTGGGTAACATAGTAATTTGTTGCATAGGTTTTGGAGATGAAGAGTCATATATTCCGCAACTTTAGTTAACTGTTGTTAGGAATTTCTTAGTTCTATGCAAGATCTCATCTTCCATAAGTTTTCATTCACTTTTGTTCTGTAGACAAGGGTAGAGTGTCTTCGTGTCCATTTACACAGAGTATTAAATATAGTTTCAAAATCTTTAATTTCATTACCCAGCCATCATGTTTGTGGCCTCTCTTACTGTTAAAATACTTTTATCTCCAGCTTGGCATGGTAGTACATCCCTATAGGCCCAGCACTCAGGAGTTTGTGAGTTTGAAGCCAGCCTGGGCTACATAGCAAGACCCTTATCTCAAAACCCAAAGTGTCAAGAAAACTTTTTTCGTCAATGCCATTATAGCTCACCAGGTAAAGGGGTGCTTGCTGTTAAGCCTGATATCCAAGTTCTATCCCTAGAACCTCCACGTAAGAAAGAGAAAATTGACTCTCATAAGTTGTCCTCTGACCTCCATATGCTGTTTGACATGTGCACACACACACAGTTAAGTGTTCTGTCATGTCAGGATTGTGCTGTTCCTAATTGTCTCCTGTGTTTTCCAGTAGCAGGATGTTTTGTTTGCTCTCTTAGGCTTTCAGTTTCAAGATTTTCAAAGAGAAAGAAAAGTTTGATTCTTAACCATATTTCACTTACCCGCTAAGATGCAAATTCTCTAGTCTGCCTTGTCTTCCTTTTCATTAACTTAAACTTGTTTTCTTTTTAGTCTCTACCTTAATCTGAATTGTTTTTTTGTCAATATGATGTGAATTTTGGCAGAATTTAAAAAAAATGCAAAATAATAGATTCAGTGAAGTTGTTAAACTACTTGAAGTCTATCAGATTTTGGTAATTTTGTCACTTGCATCTGTTGCAGCTTCTTTGGGTCATATATTTATCATACTAAAAACTAGCTTGACTTAAAGTCATGAGGTACTAGCTGCTTATCCAAATAGAAGGCTAAGTTTTTCTTTAAAAATGTTACCATTTCAATTTTAGGACCTATTGCAATTGTTAATGAAGTTAACAGTTTATAGCTAGGATAAGATAGAAATTGCTCAGTTTTTCTAGTCTCAAGAATTAGTCCTCATTAAGTTTTGGCCAGTTAACATGGGGAAGTGACTCTGGAGTCACCTTTAAGAGCATGAAGGTAGTTATGAGCACAAACTGTATTTTATATGTCAGCATTCAGGGACAAGACAGGTGCCCTGAAATGAAAGTAAGGTAGTTAGAGTAATGGAGTAGGTTCAGAAGGACCAAAAGCATGCAGGAATGAGCCATGTCTTTGGAGAGCTATGAAAAATCTTGGCAAGTTTACAAATGCATCCATGGAAGTAGAGAAAGGTGACAAAACCATACTATATAATACTGTGTCTAGCGCTGCTGCTCAAACTGGAAATAAGGGATTGGAAATATTTTTACTTCTTAGTAATAATTTAGTAGCTTAACACTTCCAATAAGTTTAACACTTTTTTACTGATTTCTTTTCTTTCTTTCTTTTTTTTTTTAATGTTTTTCCTTCAGATAGATTCTGTTGCTGTTAACATTTCAGACTTGGTACTTGAGAATCAACCACCTCGGATTTCAAAAGCACAAAAGAGACGGGTATGAAAATCATATCACCAAGTGTATAAGCTAGTGCTCAATACTTCCTTCAGTATTGTATAAGAAAAGATTAAAAAAAAATGGAGTTCCTTGTTTAGGGACCTGAACTAATGTCTAATAAGTGCTTGCCATATATCAGATGATATTCTAAGTTATTTATATTAAAATCTCATTTAACCCTGACAATAATATTGTGAGGTATGTTTTTCTTTCCTTACCTTGTAGAGAAGATAGTAAATATAAGACAACGAAAAATAAGATGTCTAGTTTGCAGTTCTTGCAGGAAACGGGGAGGCAAGGAACTGTTTTCTCTTAGACAAATACAATATTGAAAATTTAGAAATTTCAAAATCTGTGGTCATATGACTAATGCACAACCCTGTTTAAATATTAGTACTTGAGGGCTGGAAAGATGGCTTAGTGGACAAGTGCTCAGACCACTCTTAAGCAACTTTAGTTTGGTTCCCAGCTCCTTTGTGGGACTGCTCATAACCATCTACAACTCCAGCTTCAGGGAGATCTGATGCCTCTGGTCTCCATGGGAACCTGCAGTTACATGCACATAAGTACCACACAAAAACAGGTAGACAAAATTAAAAAATAAACTTTAAAAAATATTTTAAAACAATTAGTGCTCGGGGGTAAAGTGAAGTTTTGAACTTAGAAGTACATTAGAACAGCAGAGATCCAGAGTTCTCAGAGAATTATATTGGTATTTATTTATTTTTTAAAAAGATTTTATTTATTATGTATACAGTCTTCTGCCTGCATGCCAGCAGAGGGGACCAGATCTCATTCAAGATGGTTGTGAACCACTATGTGGTTGCCAGGAATTGAACTAAGGCCTCTGGAAGAACAGTCAGTGCTCTTAACCACTGAGCCATCTCTCCAGCCCCTTATATTGGTATTTATATAATGGCTAGTTACACTAAAAAATCAGAGAAGGGAAGCTTCATTATGTCAGGTATTAATGATGTGTTATAATTTGAAGGAAAAATAAATGTTTAGACAAGATATTCTACACAGGAGAAATAACACAATACAAACACATCTGGGAATGAGATACAGCATTAGATCTAAGTGCATGTTTCATAGTGTTTTTCTTAAGTACATTATATAGTAAAGCATGGAAGTTTAGTGTCAGAACAGGTGTTTTCCCTTTTTTAAAATTGTGCTTTTGAGGGTCAGACAGCCCTAGGCTGCTCCCCAACTCCAGGCAAGGTTTGCATTTCACTTACTTTCATGACTTTGCATTCAGTTTCAGTAGTAGGTAGGGGAAAATAATACCTATGTCATAGGACTATTATCAGTATTAAATAATAGACTGTCCAGGACCATTAATAAAGGCCTGGAGAACTCGTGTCAATAAATGATAACATTTACCTTTTTAAGTGTATCATATGCCTCTTAAAAAGTGAGGCCCGTGACACTGTCTCTTTCTATATGAAAGCTATGTTGCAAATAGTCAAATATTTAGCATAGTCATATGGAATTTTACTCTTCGCTAATATTACCATTGTGAATTTCAAAGAATCATTTAGAGCTCATGCTATCTTGAAGGGCTACTCTGTTTCAACTCCTTATTTATGGTAGCCATTCTTTTTGTCATGGTCCCACAATTGTCACTTTTCTTCTGTGCATCAAAAACAGGTATTTTGTGTGCCATTAACATAACAAGTCTAAAAAATTATTTGAACTTATTAATTGCTTCATTTAATGTTAGCCTGTTTATTTCTAAAAATCAAGGCTGTATCTTCTCTGTTGATCGATACCTGTTTATGCATACCTAGATTTAACCTCCTTAAAAGTTTGTTACTTCTCTCCTATCTGAAATTAATACATTTTCCAACTATACTCTGAAAATTTTAGTAATATTTATAGTCTGCTGCTTTATCACTTGGCAGAGAAAATAGTTCCCAGTTTTTTGCTTTGTTAATCTTGTGAGCTTTTGGAGCAGAGAACACTAAATTTTCATAATGCCTAATAGAATGAAAACTGAATTCAGAATGGGCAAATTTGACATTAAGTTATTTAGAAGCCGGTTAACCACTGGTGGTCTTTTTTTTTTTTTTTTTTTTTTTTTTTTTTTTTTTTTTTTTTTTAGAAAGACAATTCTGGATGAAAAGCATGGCAATTTTGTGGTGATTTATCATAAGTCTGTTACTTTTAATTTGGAGAAACGTGGGGGCATTTTATTAAAATGAGGAATTTGAGTCTAGCAAGATGACTCAGTGGATAAAGTTGATTGCTGCTTAGCCTGAGGACTTCAATCCCTGGAACCCACATGGTGGATGTAGAGAACCAACTGCTTCAACTTCCCCACCTCGACCAAAAAAAAAAGAAAAAAGGTAGAAGTAAAATAATTGATTTCCAAAAATAAGGAACTTGAGAGGTAGAATGAGATTTAGTTTCTTTGTTCTCAAATGAGAAAGATGAGACCTAGGTTATCACAATGAGAGGGAAAGTTTAATATAGACCTGGACTAGTGCCCAAATCAACATGACTCTAGTTGTGCTCGCAATGTGTTTGTGAGTTCCATGCTCTTGTCTTCCATCTGTTTTTTTTTTTTTAATTAAACTTTATTACCAGTCTGTCTCTAGGATTATCATTGTAGGAAAGTACCTAATGTTGGAAACTCCCACAGAGACAAGAAGCCAATGAATTTCTCACCTGATTGACTGAATGAAAACTCATTTGCTTTTTAGTTATGAAGCAGATCATTAGGCAAGAAAAGATATACAAAGAAATTAGTATTTAAGAGACTTACAGGTTGGGAGGATAGAATGAAGTTTCATTCTGTCAGTTAAAAAAAAAGTGAATGACCAGTTCATTTAGGGATGGGCTTTTGGGTGACAGCTTGTCCTCTAGGTTCAGAGACTCTGTGGAAGAAAAACTCTTTCTCCACGTCCAGCATTTTGTAAGGTCAGTTTGCTGGCCTGCACACTACATTTCTGTGTATGTTTTGAGAAATCAGTTGCAAGGGTCTCTTTCTCTTCTCTCCGCTCGAGATGATACAGGCAGTAAAAGTATCCAAACTTGTGAGAAATTGGAATAATAAAGAATTAACTGTATGGGATGCTATTAATGACAGTGATTCACACCAGAATGCCTTTCACTTGAGAGACACTTGGGGCTCTGTTAACATGTTAAAAGTAGCAAAAGAAAAAAAAAGTAAATGACATTATCTCCAGCTGCCATCTGCTCCAACCATTATTCTGATTCAGGTGCCTGCATAGAAGGAGCACTGTGTACTATCCCCAGTCCCCTGCTCTAACCAGCTGTATGGCCTTTGGAAATCTATCTTCATGCTGTTTCCTCAGAAGAGGGAAATGAGTGTTTTGAATTAGATGATGCCTAAGGTGCTTACTTTTTCTCTCCCCTCTGAAACTGGTTTTAGGCTTTTATAAAGTAATAGTGCCACCTTGTGTTTTAAGATTTTATATGCAGATGCAGTTGTAGTTAACAGTGAGGTAAATCATACTGCTTTTCTCGTGCTTCAAGCTGGAAGAGAAACCCTATGCTGGTCTATGTTTTGTTAGTGAGCTATTACTGCTTTTGTTTGATCCAGGGTCTTTAATCCACAAAAGAACATTTTAAGTTTTCTCATGTGGCACATCATGGCAGTCATTCAGTGTATTGAATTGTGCCTTCCTGTTCTGCCCCAGGGGGATTGAAGTTAGAGTATGAAAGTCCTTACCTTTTGTTAAAATTGCTTTACCATTTTTTTCCCCTCTGTAATTTACTAAATCAAAATTTTTCAGGGGCTTAAAGATGGTTTAGTGGCTAAGAGCACTGGCTGCTCTTCCTGAGGAACTCACATGGTGGTTTATAGTCATCTGTGACTTTAGCTCTGGGGATATGACAGACAGACAGACACACACACTCACTCACTCACTCATCTATAACTAGTTCTGGGAATCTCTCTCTCTCTCTCTCTCTCTCTCTCTCTCTCTCTCTCTCTCTGTGTCTCTCTTTCTCTTTCTCTCTCACACACACACACACTCACTCATCTATAACTTTAGTTCTGGGGAATCTATCTCTCTGTCACACACACACACACACACACACACACACACACCTATAACTTTAGTTCTGGGCATCTCTCTCTCTCCATCTCCCCCCCCCACACCCCTCCCTCTTCTGGTTTCTGGGAACTATATGCGTTTGGAGTACAGGCATACATAGGACTAAGTACGGATATTATACAATAACATAAATTAAAAAAAAATTGCTGACTGGGTGGTGGAGGCTCATGCCTTTAGTCCCAGGACTCGGAAGGCAGAGGTAGGTGGATCTCTGTGAGTTCGAGACCAGCCTGTTCTACAAGAGCTAGTTCCAGGACAGCCTCCAAAGTCACAGAGAAACCCAACAACAACACTGTTCTACTATCCAGAAAGAACTATAAATGTTGTGATAGTACTATATTAGCAAAAACAATATTTATTAATGACAGACCTGTTTTTAGCCAGCATTCTCATCCCTTGATACTTTCCTCTTATATGCTAGTTCTATTAATTGTTTTTAGCTATGAAACGTGGATATTCTCTGGCTTGTGATTCTTACTAGTTCAACTATTGGGGATGTTTTCCTTTGTGCCCCACTCCCCACCCCAGCAATTTCCCACTGCACTCACTGACAAATCTCTTGTTGACTTCACTGAACTCTACAGCATTCTTGGATATGCAGTCTTGGGAAAAATCTCAAGAATTCCTATTTCCTTGTTTAAGTAAGAAAGCAAATTATGCTATATAAACAATAATGTCATTTTTGTTACAAAGGATGTGTCATCATTTTTGTAATTGTATTGTGTTTATTACAGTGCATAGAAGAAGAATCTGGAAGGATATGTACCAGAGCTTTAGAGAATACTAGGATTTAGAGGGATTTTAGTCTACTGTAATACTTGAATTATATGTAAGCAGGCTTTTTAAAAATCTATTACTTAATTAACTATATGTATAGATGTTATCCACTTTAAGAAAACAGATCAAAGTAGTATCTGTCTGAACCCTTCTGGTGGTTTTAACATAGTGACTCCACTGTGGCAGAGTGATAAAACTTGGGTTTGTTTGGGCTTAATTATGATCAGTACTTTAAGGCTGAGGACAGCTGAATCTTTTTAATATTTTTGATAGTGTTTTATTCTGTAGTGCTAGCTGTCCTGAAACATACTATGTAGACCAGGCTGGCCTCAAACTCACAGAGATTTGAGTGCCTCTGTTTTCCAGGTGCTGGATTTAAAGGTGTGGGCCATTACCCTCAGGGCAACTGAATACTAAGACAGTACTTTGAAATCAGCTAGTCAAGTTGTTGACATGTTTTTAAATAGACCTTATGAGGACAGTTGTAGTTGCAAATGCCAGTAATCCTAAAGGATGGAGAGTATAGGCTAGCAAGTAAACAATCAGATTTCATAAGAAGGTCTCCTTTCAAGTTTCTTTTTCTCTTTCCCTCCCCCTTGCTTTTCTAGTCTTTTTACTTGCCACCCTTTTGTTTTGTTTATGAGACATTGCAGACCAGGCTGGACTGGAACTCAGTAGCCCAAGCTGTCCTCAAGCATGCCATCTTTCTGTATCAGCTTTCCAAGTAGAACCGTAGACCTAGTCTACTGCATCTGCCTATAGAAAGGCTTTTTTTATATGCTGGTACATAGTGAGGTGCTGAAAATGTGGGGGCCAGTGGTAATTTTCCTTTAATGACTGTAGTTAGAAAGTTCTGAAATAGTGAGGTGATCAAAATGACAATGCTTGTGGGAGAGAGAAAATGGCAAAAAATTTCAAAATGTGAATTTAATATTATTAATTGACCTTCCTATATTCTTGTCCTAGGAAAAAAAGGCTGCGTTGGAAAAAGAGCGGGAAGAAAGAATAGCTGAGGCTGAAATTGAGAACTTATCTGGAGCCAGACATGTAGAGAGTGAAAAACTTGCTCAGATATTGGCAGCCAGAGAATTGGAAATTAAGCAAATTCCGTCTGATGGTCATTGTATGTATGGAGCGCTTGAGGACCAGCTGAGAGAGCAGAACTGTGCTCTGACTGTGGCTGCCCTGCGGAAGCAGACTGCTGAGTACATGCAGAGCCATTCTGAAGACTTCCTGCCATTTTTAACCAACCCCAACACAGGAAATATGTATACTCCAGGTGGTGTAGCTGTCTTCATTGCATTTTGTTAGTGCATCTGGTTTTGATATGGCAGTTTCCACTAGAGTGGGTCGTGTGGCCAGGAGGGGCTGGGGAAGGGATGGTGCAGGCTGATTTTCTTAAATGGAGTCTGCCTTCCATGGAAGAGCACAGAGTGGACAGAATGAGCACAGGCAGTGGTGAACGAGGCGTATGTTAGGTATCTAGAGATACATCTCAAGGGTGACTGCACATATCAGAATTCTTAAACGTGTCTACACAACACTGCTAGTGGTAGATCATTTAATTGATGTATCAGAAAGTCAAAAATTTTAGTTTATTCATTCAGTAAATTTTTATTGAAGGGCCTGGTATTCTAGGTACTGTTTTGAAAATGTAGACTTACTATAAAACAGATTAACATATGGGGCATATTTGTCTTTTAATTGTCATAGCTTTTCTTCCCTTCCTTGAATAGGAAGGATGCTTGGCCTCATTTTATGTGTATGGATATTTTGCCTACATGTATATCTATGCACCGTGTATGAGACCATGTCCTTGAAGACCAGAAGAGGATATCAGATTACCTGGAACTGGAATTACAGACAGATGTGAGCACTCTCATGGGTGCTGGGAATTTAACCCCAGGTTCTCTGGAAGAACAAGCAGCAAATGCTATTTCCTGCTGGGCCATTTCTCTATCTCATGTTTAGCAAAACCATTTGAATATGGTGCATTTGAAAGTGTATGTGTACAATAATAGGCCTATTGTAAACTCAGAGGTTAGGTCTTTTACTTCTTTCAGAGATTCAGAAAAATCTCTTCCCTTTACTAAAAGTGACACTGATACAAATCATGTAAAGATATGTTAAATGACAAGCCGAGGAACTATTTGCTGCTACTCCTGCGAAGATCAAACTCATTTGTACTTTCACTCTATAGGCTCTTACAGTAAGCCTAATTATAGAAAGGCTATATATTTTAACCTTGTATTCAATTTTGGCTTTAGAACACTTGTGAGAATAGTGAATTTGTTGACATTTTTAGGAGTCATTGCATTAGATGAGGATACCTCTGAGTCCCAAGTTGAAGGTGGGAAGTAGAAATGCTTTGCTCTTGGATAGAAAGAAGTTGGAAAGTTGGGTTGGGTGTGTTTAATGTACAACTGGGAAGTAGATTACATTTTTAAAAGGATGTGATACAGAAAGGAGTTGTTCTCATCAAGGATTGTGTGATGACATTATTAAAAACTCTGATGTGTTCTCTACAGAAGAATTTGGAAAATACTGTGATGATATTGTAAACACAGCGGCATGGGGAGGTCAGCTTGAGGTAAGTGTATGAGTGCATAGCGGTTGTAGGTGTTAAACCATTTATGAATCCCACTTGTAGTTTTCACAGTTTTTTTCAGCTAAACCCAGTATCTCTTTGAAGATGCCTTTATCTTTCTACTTTTGCCGTTTCTCTAATGACAAGGAAAGAGTTACACATTCTTGTCCCTGGGATTCGACCATGTACCTTTGAGTAAGTGAAGCACGAATTCATCTTAAGTAGCCCAGTGTTGTAATTGTGACTTACAGAAGCTGGTGTTTTTTGAGACAGGGTTTCCCTATGCAGCTTTGGAGCCTGTCCTGAAACTAACTCTTGTTAACCAGGCTATCAACTACCTCTGCTTCCCAAGTGCTGGGGTTAAAGGCATGAGCTACTACTGCCTGGCTCATCTGAATGTTTTCATTCGTGATGCTTATACGGTCAATCTGTTTGATATTTCTGTATCTAAAAAAATTAAGACTTGATGTGGTACACATCAAGCAGTTGAGAGGCATTGTTGGATGCTAGCCTGGGTTACATAAGGAGAAACCCTGTTTAAAAAAACAAAGAAAAACGAAAGAAAAATTGTAGATTTTATTCCATGAAAGTCAATTTTAATCTAGTAGATCAGTGTTGGAAAAATAACTTTCTCTTCATACCAGAAATAGAAATGAACCAGGGTCAGAATTAAGTGCCTGTAATCCCATCACTAGGGAGGCTGAGGCCAGAGGAGGAAGAGTTTAGATCAGCCTAGGGTATGCAAAATGAAAATTTTACTTTGAATAAATCTTACCGTAGCACATTTGTTCCAATTATCTGTTGAATTCCTGTGTGTTAGTGTATTACTTAAAGGCAGTAAATTGATGCATTAATATTGTTGTTTAAGAAAAGAATATATTCAGACACACATAGAAGCTTAACATACTTCCTTGAGCTCATTTTAAAATTTACTGTTAACCTTGCTTGACTACAAAGCTTTCAGTTAGGCCTGGTGGTGACAAGCAGTCTTGGTTGGTAGAGAAAGGATGACGAGGCAACTCCTAGGCTCATGTTCTGACTTTTCATTTATGCCTTGGGTGAGTCATCCAACTTCTTGACCACTAGTTTGAAATGACTCAGTAAGACCTCTTGTATTCAGTAGAATACTGTGACAGTAACTAAGGTAGGGAGTACCTGATACACAAGAGTTTGTGAACTAAGATGGCAGGTGAATGACTCTAGCAGTGCTAGTATTATATAAAAGTGGCTAGTTGTCTTTAGTAGTTTATGCCTCTGAAGACCTTTTAAACTGTTTGAAGATGAGAGGGGAAATTCTTTGCAATCATTCTTAAATACAATGCTGTAGTTGGACCTCTCCACCAGAGGGAACTGTCCGCATTAGTTTTGTCTCCTGACTCAGACATTCTACGATTGTTCTACTAGCTTTGTGATGGCAGGAATAAAGAAACTTGAACTACTTCAAAAGGTTCACTAAGTAATATGATGGTACTGGAGACTTAATTCTGTTAAATTGAGATAATTTAATTGAGACAGTTGTTAAAAACATCTGGAAGGATATTTGCTCATTCATTGCTTGTGAATTCCTTTGAAGTACAAGTTGTTTTCACAGTGGGAAAAATATATATTATAAAATTGAGCCAAAGAAAATCTGATTGTGTGTGTGTGAGTGTTCACATGAGTGCCACAGTACACTTACTGTAGTTAGAGGAAAACTTTTCAGGAATTGATGTTCTCTTTCCACCACTTGCATTAAACGCAAGTAGTCTGGTTGGTGGCAAGGTCCTCAACCTGCTATGCCATCTCACTGGCTCTATTATATGGCTTTTTGAAGATATTGCTAGTTTAAAAAAAACAAAACAAAACAAAACCAATAAAATAATGTGTTTCAAAGGACTATTTTGCAAAAGAATATGGGGATTTTATTCTAATTTTTTTATGTAGCATAGAATCCTTTTCATATTCCTGAAGTAATTTTTAACATCCATTGGAAACCTCATAAAGGTTCTATGTTCTTGGTGTAACTTTTGTAATTGGGCTGATGTATAAATTAGCAATCCATGTTGGAAGACTGGCAGTGATGGATTTGGGTATGAATTCGGGTTCTAGAGTCAGTCAGCTTCCTCAGTTCAACTGGGTCATTTAATTTTTTGTTTGACCCAGAGAAGTCTTTTATCATCCTACTTCAGATTCCAGGTGTTAAAAAATAACAGTCAAGTGGGTGTGGTAGCTCATACCTGTAACACTAGTATTTGGGAGGCAGAGGCAGAGGACCTCTGCAAGTTGAAGCCAGCCTTGTTTACATAGCTATTTCTCAACCAGCTGGACCACATCAACAAACAGACAAGCTCCTCCCCCCAAAAAACAACAACAAAAAAAACCAAAAACAAAAAACAAACCCAAACCAACTCATCAGTTCCATGAAGTTATTAGGAAGACTGGATGAATTAATTCACATGAAGTATATACATGAGTGTAGTGCTTAGTTATAGCATATCAGTGGCCATTAACATTGCTTTATTAGTGGCTATTATTCATTAGGCTTTAAGCTCTAAGGTTATACTGTATGTTATAAAATTAAGGTAGTACAGCATACTGACCAGATAGAGATTCCATCACAGGCCAGAGTAGTTCACATACATACCTTGTTCTTGTTGCTGACTGCATCAGCATCATCTGAGAAGCTTTTAAAAGAAACCTCATGTTTTGCCAGATCCTTGGCCAGGAATGGTTTGGTCTGATGCTTAGCCACTAGTATTTAAAAATTGTATCATTATGACAAATGGAATGTTTTCAACCCCAGAGACTGGTATAATAATCACAGTCTACTCTTCACCCACTTTACCAAATATGACGTTGGTATTTTTACAAAGCTATTCTATGTCCAAGGCTTGAGAAACTGCTGCCTTTGATGTACTCTTTTAGTTACCTATGCATTTATGTATTTTTGATTTTTTCATCAATTCAGCAAATACTAAGTGTCTACTCCCTTGAGTTCGTGGCACTATTATGAACAGAGCACATCTTTGCTCTGACTACTGTGTTCTGTGTATGTACTTCAGTAGTTGTGATTTGAGCAAGATTTGCAATTTTGTTTCTCTTGCTAATCCATTTTTCCCCCTATAGCTAAGAGCTCTGTCTCACATTTTACAAACACCAATTGAGATACTACAAGCAGATGCTCCTCCTATTGTAGTTGGTGAAGAGTATCCAAAGAATCCTTTAATACTAGTGTAAGTACCTAGGAAGCTTTACTATTTTATTTTTCATAATTCAGACAAAAAGAAATGTGAAGAGATTTTGGGTTGTATGTACTGACTAATCAAAATGCTAAGTTAATTCTGTTTATGTTAAAGGCAATCAGAAATAGCATCAGAATATCTGATTTACATAATTGCTTAGACTATTGATTTTTTTTTTTTTTTTTTTTTTTTTTTTTTTTTTTTTTGTATGAGCTAAGAAGAAAGTCCTTTCAAAGGGCTATAAAATTTCAGGCTAGTTTTGTGTGTTGCTCACATTGACATAATTAAGTTTAAATGGCACAAAAGGTGGGGTTGTTCAAACAGCCCTTCATGTTGTAAATGTATTTGCATGATTGAGAATTGGCTCCTCAAATTCAATATGGAGTGTTTATTTTCCTGTTTCTTGTGTATATGGTGTGTGTGTGTGTGTGTGTGTGTGTGTGTGTGTGTGTGCGCGCGTGCGTGCCTGTGTCTGTGTCTGTGTGCTTTGTGTGTGTGTGTGTGTGTGTGAGCTTGCATGTGTGAGTGCATGTGTGTGTGTGTGTGCACATGTGTGTTAACTATTCTTATCATTATAGTGAAACTTTGAGCTCATTAAGCCATTAGCATCTCAGTCTTTGCTCCTCTAGTGATTGGACGACTTGCTAACACTTGTGACATGATGTTGAACTCATAATGAATATGCTCATATTGTCAGTTAATGATACCTCTGTGGATTGGGACATTCAGGGTGCTTAGTTATGTATGTATGTATGCTATATAGGTTTACATGTAGTGAATACCTCCTCAAAACGACTTATTTCTCTCTTTTTCTATTTCAGATACATGAGGCATGCATATGGCTTAGGAGAACATTATAATTCTGTCACACGGTTGGTGAACTCAGCTACTGAAAATTGCAGCTAGTTTACAAAATGTTACACTGTGTTTTGTAGAGTGTGCCAATCTGCATATTCCTATCAAGTGCTAGATTGTTGTAAATGCTGCTGAAAAACACAGCTACCTTAAGTCACATTTATGAATAAGCTTGCTAACAGGATTTTAGAAATACATCGGATTAACTTTAACCAGTGCCCTCTTAGTGGCATTCCTACAACTTTAAGTCTATTGTGGAGAACATTATTCTAAGATGTTACACTTCTAACTAATGAGTTTTAGTTATCCTGGACATTCTGATTTTGAATAAATTTTGGCCCCACAACTTTATATTCCTAAACTAAGTATTTTGTTGTAATTTTTTTTAAAGTACAGAGACTTTGTCTCTGTCATGGTAGGAACATATTGTAGTGTCAGCAAGTTTATTATAAAATGAGCATGATCATAGTAACTTTGGTATTACTAGGATCAGCAAGGTGAAGCTTGTTATGTAGTACATCTCTGCAGCCAAGGAGAAACTACTACTAGGAAGTTTTGAATACTTACATGAGAATCAGTTATGTTCAAAGAAATGAGACAAAATCAGTGGTAAGTAGGTGTTCATTGTGTCTGTTTTCAAACTTTGTAACAAATTGAAGATTGTCCTTTACTGTGTGTATAGCTTTAGAAAGACCAACTTAGGTATTGCTGTTTTTTCAGCTTGAGGCTGGAGATACTTTGTATCTTTATTCTCATCACAACTAAGAATTTTTACATTTTCCTGCATTTTCTCCATCACTTCTCAGTGGTTTTGCTTTCCCTAGAGCCTTTTTCCACTGAGAGAGATCCAGTGGCCTCTTGTTGCTCACCTATGCAAGGTGGTGCTTTAGTAATGCAGAAGCGGCCATGATCACATTCTTCCTATGCCTTCCCCTTTCCAGTTTGTCCTAACAGGGTCTCTGCTTGCACTCATTTTCTAGGAAGCAAAGAAAGCCCTGGCTATGGATTATTGTGTTACCTACCGTATCACTTTTTTTTTTTCACTCAAATATTTAATTATTATATTGTATATACATAGGTAAATTTTAAGGCCACTGTTCAGGAGCCTGGAACTGAAAATCAGTACAGAACATTTGGAGTGATTTATGTAACTTGGATTCCAAATCACTTCTAACTATTCTTTGTAGGAGAGTTGTACCCACATGCAGAAGTGTGTCTGCTATGCTTACGTAGCACAGTACCATGGGATGGGGACACAGCTTATCATTTATCATGCATGAGGCTTGAGGTTTACTTTCTAGCACCACCACCACCACCAACAACAAAAACACAAATTCATGAAAATGAAACTTTTTGGTTTGATCTATTTTTTTCCACGTTAGAAATATAATAAGATTGAGCATCACGTTTATAATATTTGGACTTTTGATCCATGTATACAGTCTATGAAAAAATAATGGGCTTATGAAGTAGGTAACACTGGCAATATGGTAGAGACTGTGGTCAGCAGAGCAAGTCAGGACTTTTGAGATCATTCCAGCAGACTAAAACTTCCTCTGCCTCCTACACAGTGTGTTCTAAAGGGTGCCTGCTTTGTAACTTCTGATCTTTTTTTTTTTCTTCTGAAATTTACAAAAGAATGAAGTTGTAAATTGAATGCTTTGTGTTTATTTTGAAGTAATGTTATCTTCATGTTAAAATATCGCATTGAGGATTAACAAAACAAAATATTAAACCTAGTCATTGCAAATTACATTTTCAACAAAGATAGTCTAAAGTAATGCATTAATGTTTTGACAAGAATTTAAATGTACTTAATTATGTATTTCTGTTTTTTGTGTATATATTTTATTTTAAAATGGCCAGTATATTTATGAATAAAGTGAATGGCCAACTTCTACCATTTTAGTTTTAAATGAAAAAAAAAAACCTTTTAAATATGCAGATGTTAATTTAGAAACAACATAATTCAAATTAAATTTGCTGCTGCTGTTGCTGGTGGTGGTAGTGGTGGTATAATGGGAATCCCATGAGCTTTTTTTAGTCCTGATTGGAAATGTGTATGTCAAAATTCTGGAATTTGTCTTCAGCCAAGAATTTTATCCACTTACATATGTTTATAGCCTGTAAAAAGTAAAACAAAGAATGTGTAACTATTATGAGCAAGATAGCTTTGCCTATATTATCTGATGTTTGCCAAAAGAATAAATGATAAAGGAGTTAAATCAACATGTATTATGGTCAAATTGTCAATTTTTTTTTAACCATTTCAAAATTTAGAAAAGAACTCATTTTGCTTTAGAACTTTATCCAGCTTTTATTTTCCTTTGTATATTGAGAATAATACAATCACAGATTCTTGTATTTAAGGGACTTCATAAATATATGAGCATATCACTCTGCTCAAAGTAAAGTGATATAAAAGAGTAATGGCC